GGTGTATCAATTCTTTGATTTCTCTCAAACACTAAACTTTTTTAATTATTCATCACTTTGTCTCCTTATTTTTAAGTTTATTTCACTAGTTTCTACTTCTTGACTAATATCTTCTAATCCTAACCTCTCCGACTACTGTTAATACACCTTTACTACATCTACTACTATCGGATTTGAAAACTGACAATTACATCTCTTTATGCTAATGTGGTATGTCAACATGAACTGATGTACTTACGTACATACGTACAAAGTTCTAAGTTGCTATTGATTGACTGAATGATTGACCTTTGTTCAACTAAGTTTCTATTTTCATATCATAGTTCACTCACTACTATACAACACAAAGAACATATCTGGATGTTCTGTAAACCACTTAATTAACTGCAACATACATATTTGTCTATGAACAAAACAAAACCAAAATAACTATAATTGTACTACTAATTAGTTGTGCTTTTTTATTTTTTAATACCACCTATTTTCATTGTAAAATAATTAAAGTTTAACCAGTTCAATTCATAATATTAATAATAATAATAATAATGTGTGTTTCATGCTTTCTTTCATCACACCACCACTTATACAATAATGTACTGCTTATTTTAAATGAGTTAAGCAAAACAAAACAAATATGAACTGATCAGTGATCAATGATCACTTCAATGAGATACAACTAACTATATGTGTATATCTGTTTTTTTTTCAAATATCACTATGATATAATTAATTGTATAAGTCAATGTCGATTCTAGTTTGCATTTAAACAATTGTTGAGTTACTTTTTGGAAATCATGAATCGATCGATATTAGACAACCATCGCGGAGCTGGAAGCACCACTCACTGGACGGATGCTTTGTCCTAACATGTGACTTGTCAGTGGTGCGTATCCATGGTCCTTGCTCGCAGTAATCGAACTCAAGACCTCCAAGCAAAGGGCACGCGAACGCTTAACTTTTAATACCAGCGATCAGGTATTCAACGATGTTAATGTCTAAATTCGACTGATCCACTGTCTTCAGTAGGCACCGTTTCACATCCGACAGGAATGAATTACACTGGTCATTACTTCTCAACTAGAACTCAGAAAAACTTTTTCACGGAACTAGTTACTGGTGAGCACATGATAATTTTCATTATAGGGTTTTGAAGATTACTGTTAATATGGTCGTTAATTGATATGCTTGAAACTACTAAGAGTTCTTCATCTTAGTCGGTTAAACAAGAGCGAAGATAAATGATCCAGTGACACGATAGGCTACTCTAATCCGAGCGTCCAATGGCCTCATTAAGTAGAGGGAGAAGTCTTTGTATGACCTAGAAAGTATATTTTACAAGCACCTAGAAAATCGAGATTCACAAGTACACAAATCGAGTTTATTTATACATGATAGAAACGTCATTGGGAGAGCTACGAAAGTAGCCTACTAAAATGACACATCAACCAATGACAGTCACGGACTTTCCGGTCGAGGAATGTAATCTCAAGGTCAACTGATCGGCCCAAGGTGCGAAAGCATAAAATCCAAAATTAGGACCTTAATCAAGTGAGTTCTGGGGATCTAACGTCCCCAACAGTTGAGTTTCTTTAAAATCATGGATGAGCACTTCTGATGAGTAACCATATAAGGACGAAACGACCGTCCCGTGCTTTCAGGTTTCTAATAGTGTTCTAACATTGACCGATTGATGATTTCAGAATTGTAACACAATTTGACTAGCCGATGTATTCGTTTTAAAATCAAATTATTTTATGAAACATATTTTTAGTGATATAACTGGAATGATTTATTAAGACTATTGTATTCTAATGATTGGATCGATTTGATTGAGCTAAACGTTATTCTTTCTGACCGATAGTATTATCACAAATGTTCATAGAAACTTGTGGCACCCATTTTTCAGATTAATATTATTATTGTGTAATTAGTAGATAACTGCATTATTGTACTTCTGTGTTCTCCCTATTGTAAGCTTTCAGTCATCATACATTTGCCTTGATTAATTACGTAATAATAACAGATGTCTAGCTGCAGATCTGTCTCTTCGGACTCAAAACTAGGGAAAGAGAAAGGTTTGTGGATAAATGGACCAATATGAGTGTAGCTTACGAAAGTTTTTTATCATTAATTGTGTTAGTCAGGTCATATACCTGGTCAAGTTTAAGATGAATGCTTATTAGTATTCAAAGTTAGGCATATGAGTCCAGGTGATCCCACCCGTAGTCCCGTTTTAGTTGATTTCTAAAAAAAATGCAAAAGACTAAACATATGTTTAGAATGAAAAATAGGAAGTACTGAATACCCTAGTTTATTTTTCCAGTATATTGGTTTATACTACTTATTTATTTTCAGTAAACTGTCTTATCTCTAATAATTTCGAAGTCTCATATGACGCCTGTAACTAAAACGAACTGGTTTTAATGCATAAGTACTGATGAAACCAATTGCAAATAGCACAATATGGTTCCGAATTTAGATTAGCGAATATTGATGTAAATCCGGTTTGAGGGCAAAATTCTACTTTTGACTGTAGAGGTGTGTGACAGGAGTAAAGTATCTCCCTCGGATAACTAGCACTTGAAATGCAATACTTAACGGATTCCCGTCTCCGGCAGTAGTCTTTTGAAAAAAGCGGAGCTAACACTTTAGTATCTCATAAAGAAGCTGTGCCTGATCCGTATCAAGCAGCTTCCAGGTCTCTAAGACCTACGCTAATCCTATTTCCTTTTCAGGTTCCTAAGGAAACACCCTTCCACGATGTGGACAACTGGGAAGCGACCTCAGCCATCATATTCGTTACAGCACACGGAACCAGACTAGTCACAATGAAATCCTTTCTATACCTCGGAAATAAACCTTTTACCTAGATAACTAAACTTTCTCACATTCTTTTATCGACTGAAATAACCTCACAGAGCACAGTTAATTTACAATCAGTCAGAGTTTGAAAAGTCAAGAATTATTATTATGTATCAATGGTAAGTGTAAACGTGCAGCGTTTGAAATTAATTTTTTTTAAAAAAACTATCTTCTCATCCTCTAAAAAAGCGGTCGAATACCATACGACAAACAAGACAGACACATACATACAACGCAGAACTTCGTATATAAGTACATCAGTTCAGGTTGCCATACCACATCAGCACACAGACGCGACTGTCAGTTCAAATCCAAGAGTGATAGCAATAATAGATGTTGTAATGCATTGGTTAAAAAATTCCCAGCTAAATCCTATTGCTTAGTATTCTCTGATCACAATGCACTGGGCAGAATCCAAAGAATCAAAAACACGGTTGAACATGAAAAGATTATATTACAAATAGCAAGGTTAAATGAAATAAGAGCCAAAGGCAAGAAGGCGAAAATAGATACAGCGTTAGTCTATTTATAGCATTTACATGAGAAACTTCTGGATAGAAATTCACATGATCGACTGAATTAGATTTAGCCAATCAGCACACAGCTCACAATACGAGAATCTTAATTCCATCTATGTCCCACTAACAGTAGAAGTATTAGCAGTATTGCAGAAGATAAGGGAGCAAAGATATGAATCGAAAAGTATAATTCAGTGAGATAGATTTAGAAGGGAAAAGGTAGAGATTATGAGGAATTCAGGTTAGAATTTTAGAGAACACAAAGAATAAATGCACCGGCGCCATGGCAAACGATTCTCAGACATGCCGTTCAAGGTCTCTAACAATCGGTGACATTCGTCTCGCGGACCCTAACCAGGTAGTCTACATCTACCAACATGACTCAGTCCACTTGTCAGTGACTTCATGGATTTGTGCCATGTGTTATTTTGGCCACCTTTAGCTTTCTTCCAACTTACTCCTACACTACAAAACATAGCTCGTCGAGGCAGTCGGTGGTTAGCCATACGCAATACATGTCCTAACTACCTCAAGTTTCACTACTATATCTATTGATCTGTCATCTCTACCTAGTACTCGTTTCCTAACGACAGCATTGCTTATACGGTTGTCTCAGGATACTCGAGCAATACTTCGAAGACACCTATAATCGAATACTAGTAACCTACGAAAGTCCTCTACTCTTAAAGGCCAAGTTTCGCATCCGTATAATAGAACGGAACGAACTGCTGCGCAGTACACTCGTCCTTTAGTCAGCAAACGGATATCTCACCTACGCCATAAGTGACACAGGTTAACAAAAGCCAACCAAGCTTTCTGTATCCATGCTCAGATTTCGTCAGTCAACAGACTGCTCTCAGCACTGATAAGACTCCCCAGATAAGTGACAAACAAGAACAATCAGTCAGTCAGCCAGTCAGTTAGTCAATCAATTAGTTACAACATAGAACAACAACACCAACAACAACAGCATTAAATAAAAATCGAACAGACAATATAAACACGAGTTTATTTCATCCAAGTTGTTTGTTTGTTTTTATTCAATTTTATTATTAACAAAACAAAAAAAATAATTGCCAGAACAAAACCCTAACCAAAAACAAACTGCATATTATTGTACAACACTCTTATTTGTCTAGTAAATATTTGTAAAGAGAAGAATATTAATAATAATAAGAAGAAAAATGCAAGTACATTTTGTATTGGGTGTTCCTACTGTTGTAGTTATTGCTGTTGCTGTCACTGTTATCTAACAAACACTCACTCACTCTCTCACCCACTCACACACACACACACACACACACAAAAACACCTCACAAGATACATTTTTTTAAACGAAAAAGAAAACCCGAAAAGAAAATCAATAAAAAATATTCTCCTCCTTTTTTTTCTGTTTTTCTTTCTTTCTTTGAATATAATACAATAAAAAAAATGAAAAATGAAAAAACAACTTTTTTTATACAAATTAAAAAATAATAATAATAAAATGTTTACTTTTTTTCTTGTTGTTTGTTACATACATACATCGAAGAAAACAAACCAGAAAAACCTCGAACATGATAATAACAAGTAGAAATTGTTTCATGTTGTTTTTTAGAAACATAATGCATTGTACTCCTACTACTGTTGTTGTTGTGTAGGTTTTAAAAATAAATTCATTTTATTACTGCTTCCAATTCGATTCAATATCATTTGATATGTACTTTTATCTTTGAATTGAATAATAAGCTATGAAAGATGAAACAAACAAAAAGGCATTAAAACGTTGTAGTATATATAGATTGAATATCAATCAATCAATCAGTGGTAAATATTGTTGGGCATGTGTAGATCCCTAGAACTTGCTTGATACATTTATATATCTTTATTTTGGATCTATTTGATTGGCCGATCAGTTGACTACCCTAAGCAACAATGCAAGCATGTTCGGGATGCGGCTCTCACCCTCGAAATGCAAAATGTTGCTTCAAGACTGGGTTGCATCGGCACCCGATCTAGTGATAGGGAGTGAAGTAGTCGAACGTGTAGACCGCTTCACTTATCTTGGGAGTCTCATCAGTGCTGAGAGCAGCCTGGTGACTGACGAAATCTCAGCTCGGATACAGAAAGCTGGATTGGCTTTCGCCAACCTGCGTCACTTATAGCGTAGACGAGATATCCGTTTGTTGACTAAAGGACGAGTGTACTGCACAGTAGTTCGCTCCGTCTTACTTTATGGCTGTGAAACATGGCCAATGAGAGTAGAAGATACTCGTCGGTTATTGGTTTTCGATCATAGGTGTCTTCGAAGCGTTGCTCGTATATCGTGGGACAACCGAGTGAGCAATGCTGTAGTTAAGAATCGGGTGCTAGGTAAGAATGGCAGATCAATAGATGAAGTAATGAAACTTCATCAGTTGAGGTGGTTGGGACATGTGTTGCGTATGCCCAACCACCGACTGCCTCGACGAGCTTTGTTTTGTAGTGTAGGAATAGGTTGGAAGAAAGTTAGGGGTGGCCAAACCAAAACATGGCAGAAATCCATGAAGTCATTGACGAGTGGACTTAGCCATGTCGGTAATTGTCGACTACCTGGTTGGGGTCCGCGAGATGATAATAATCGATGGTTAGAGACCTTGAATGACATGGCTCAAATCCATTTGCAATGGCGCCGGTGCATTTATTCTCTGTGTTCTCTCAAATCCTAATCTTCTGAATTCTTCAACACCTCTAGTTTTGACTTTCTAAACTTTTCTCACTGAATCATGCTTCTTGAATAATATCTTCTAATCCTAACCTCTCCGATTACTTCTAATACCCTTACTACCTCTTCTACTATTGGATTTGAATTGACAATTATATGTCTGTGCTGATGTGGTATGGCAACATGAACTGATGTACTTACGTACGAAGTTCTACGTTGCATCTGACTGACTGACTGACCTTGAGATGATCACATTTCCCACCTGACAAAATCTTTGGCTGTGATTGGTTAATGTGTCATTATTAGTGTGCTATTTTTGTGAGTGTCCCAAGGACGTCTCTATTGAACGTAAATAAATGCAGTTTGAGTGCTTGTATTCATTATGTGCTGGCTGGGTGTTTGTAGAATACACTTTCTGTCCTATATCAAGGCTTATTGCTGGTACAATTGGGACAACAGGATCACAGTAGCCTACCTGGACACTGGTTCATTGTTTTTTTCTCGTTATTCGACTAAGGTGAACCCGTAATAGTTTTATGCATACCTACAGACGAGCGTAACAAATGTATAGCATGATACGTATGCAGATCCGTTCCAGTCGCTGTACCATATTAGCACAGATAGTGATCGAAGTGTCAATTCAAAATCAATAGTAGCAAAAGTATTAGTAGTATTGGAGAACATTAGGGATCAAAGATTGATATGTTCGTCAATTGATATGCTTGAATACGATTACGAGTTCACCTTACTCGGTAAACGTAACGAACATCAACAATACAGTGACACGTTAGGCTATTATGATCCGTGTGTCCCGGGGCCTCGGCTAACTAGATCAAGGAGTGTTGATGAGACGTAGAGAATCTGTTCTACAAGCACATAGAAAAACGAGGTTGACAAGCACACAACACAAGCATATTCATACAATGATAGAAACGTCCTTGGGAGAGCCACAAAATAGCGTACTAAAATAATCCATCAACCAATGACAGTAAAGGATTTTTCGAGGAGGAAATGTGGGCTGAAGGACAACTGTTGCGAAAATATGAAGATTCGAAATTTCGGAATATAATCACAAAATTATGACCTTTACAAGTGAGTTCTGGGGATCTAACTTCCCCAACAAAGATATGCTACGAGCAGTATAAGTCAGTGCAATAAATGTAAAGCGAGAAAGATAAAAGTAATGAGGAATTTAGAAGATTAGGACTTGAGAGAGCACAAAGAATGGATGCATCTGCGCCATTGCAAACGATTTCGAGCCATGTCATCCTAAGTCTCTAACCTGCGGTCACCATTGTCTCGGGGAACTCAACCAGATTCTCTACATCTATCAACATGGCTGTCCAGTTGTCAACAACTTTATCGATCGGCGTTATGTTTTTGTTTGGTAGCCTCTAGCTTTCTACCGTCCTGCCTCTACATCAGACAGCATCGCTCGTCGAGGCAGGCGGTGGTTAGACATACGTAAAACATGTCCGAAGTACCTCAATAGATGGGGGTCCATTATTTCATCAACTGATTTGTCATCTTCACCTAGTACCCTTTTCTAATCCCCGGCATTGCTTACTCATTGGCCCCACGATATACGATCAATGCTTCAAAGATAGTGACGATCTATTACTATCATTATTGACCACGTTTCGCACCAGTAAAGTAGAATGGAGCAGACTGCCGCGCAGTAGACTCGTCTTTTGGTTAGCAAACGGATATCTCGTCTACGCCATAAGTGACACAAGTTCAGACAACAAAAAATGTGAATGAATAAAAGGTTTCATAGAGGCAATGGTCACAACGAAATAGATTATATAGGCGCTTATAACGAACACCTACTAACTTCCTTCTCGTCATACGGGTCTTATACACGAAAGTGAGAGGGAGAAAACCAAATGTCTTGTCAGGGCTTTAGACTGAGTTGATCCGTACAAAGGAGTTGGAAAACCGTCGTTCTAAACCTATAGGGTACGTGGGTTGCATGATCCTCAACAAACAAATGCTATAAGAATCTATTATTGGTCACCGATTTACCATGGGCCCATATCTCCTAAAACGTTGATCCACTGACTTGTCGATTAGACGTCTGAATCAAGGGCTCATGGAGTGACCCTCTAAGGAAGTCATCGGTGTAGACTTACGTAGCCGGGTAGTGTCCCAGCGCCATCTCACAAATTACTGAATTTGTGAAGTGCATAAATATATTAACTCCGCCAGTAGAACCTTCGGGGCTACTGCCGGTCCCAAGCCCGGGTAAAGGAGGAGGGTTGGACATGGGGTTGGCGACCCCATTCCGTCAAAAACTAACTTGCCAAAAAAACGCTAACCAGAAAAAATAATTCAAACCATTTTAACTCTGCCCTGGGAGTTGGAGGAAGAAATATGACGTCGCGTGATGAAAGCCGAGTTCCCTCGGAAGTCACGGGGCTGATGCCTCTTCTGACAACCAGAGCAACCATTTTTTTAGGTACATGGAACGTTCGTACATTGTGGGAGACTGGAAGACTATTTCAAGTTGCGGCAGAAATGAAAAGATACAACCTCGAGGTGCTTGGAATCAGTGAAACACATTGGACACAAGTAGGACAACTGAGACTAGCTTCAGGGGAACTGCTGTTATACTCTGGTCATGAAGAGGAAAATGCTTCACATACACAAGGAGTTGCATTGATGCTGTCCAAACATGCACAAAAGGCACTAATAGGATGGGAATCTCATGGACCCAGGATCATTAAAGCATCCTTCCAAACAAAGAAACAGGACATTACAATGAACGTCATCCAATGTTATGCAACTACAAATGACTACAATGACGTCGATAAAGATCAATTCTACAAAAGGTTGCAGTCAATCGTCGATAAATGTTCACCAAAGGATTTGACGATTCTTATGGGAGACCTGAATGCCAAGGTTGGAATGGACAACACTGGATATGAAGACATCATGGGACGACATGGACTGGGAGAAAGGAACGAAAACGGTGAGAGATTTGCAAACCTATGTGCCTTCAACAAACTGGTCATCGGTGGCACAATATTCCCGCACAAACGCATACACAAAGCTACATGGATTTCACCGGATCACACTACTCAAAACCAGATTGACCATATCTGTATCAACAAAACGTTCAGAAGGACTATGGAGGATGTGAGAACCAAGAGAGGAGCTGATGTAGCCTCAGATCACCATTTGCTAATCGCCAAAATGAAACTGAAACTAAAGAAGCACTGGACAACGGGACAGACAACATCACACAAGTTTAATACGGCCTTTCTTCGGGATACTGTAAAGCTCAACGAATTGAGGATAGCCCTCACCAATAGGTTCCAGGCCTTTCAGGATCTACACAATGGAGAGGACACAACATTGGAGAACAATTGGAAAGGGATTAAGGAGGCAATCACTTCAAAATGTCACGAAGTTCTGGGTCACAAGAAGTACCATCACAAGGAATGGATCTCTGTTGGTACTCTCGCAAAAATTGAAGAAAGGAGGAACAAGAAAGCAGCCGAACAAGAGCGGAGAAAGTTACCGCACAAACTGCATACACAGAAGCAAACAGGGAAGTGAAGAAGAGCATCAGAGCTGACAAACGAAAACACGTGGAAGATCTAGCAATGACGGCGGAAAAGGCTGCAAGAGACGGAAACTTGAGACAATTGTACGAAACAACAAAGAAGCTCGCCGGGAACTATCGTAAACCAGAACGACCAGTGAAAAACAAGGAAGGCAAAGTAATCAGCAACACTGAAGAACAGCGAAATAGGTGGGTAGAGCACTTTACGGAACTATTGAATCGACCAGCTCCTCTGAACACACCCAACATCGAAGCAGCATCCACGGACCTCCCAATTAATATTGGCGCACCTACGATTGAGGAGATCAGTATGGCCATCAGAGAAATCAAGAACGGCAAAGCAGCAGGACCAGACAACATTCCAGCAAAGGCAATGAAAGCAGATGTAGAAGCAACTGCGAAAATATTTCACATCCTCTTCAAGAAGATTTGGGATGAGGAACAAGTACCATCAGATTGGAAAGAAGGATACCTGATCAAAATACCAAAGAAAGGCGATCTCAGCAAGTGTGAGAACTACACAGGCATCACTCTTCTCTTAATACCAGGCAAAGTCTTCAACAGGATATTGTTAAACAGAATGAAGGACTTCGTAGACGCCCAACTTCGAGATCAACAGGCCGGATTTCGTAAGGATCGATCGTGTACTGACCAAATTGCTACATTACGAATCATTGTGGAACAATCAATTGAATGGAACTCACCACTCTACATCAACTTCATCGACTACGAGAAAGCATTCGATAGCGTGGATAGGAAAACACTGTGGACTCTTCTTCGACACTACGGGGTGCCTGAGAAAATAGTCAACATCATACGGAACTCTTATGATGGATTCAACTGCAAAATCGTGCACGGAGGACAGCTAACCGACTCTTTAGAGGTAAAGACCGGTGTGAGGCAAGGTTGCTTACTCTCACCCTTTCTCTTTCTCCTGGTGATCGACTGGATTATGAAAACGTCAACAGCTGGAGGGAAGCACGGTATCAACTGGACAGTTAGGACGCAGCTGGACGATCTGGACTTCGCAGATGACTTGGCTCTTCTATCGCACACTCAACAACAAATGCAAGAGAAGACGACCAGTGTAGCAGCAGCCTCTGCAGCAGTAGGTCTCAGCATACATAAAGGAAAGAGCAAAATTCTCCGATGCAACACAACATGCACCAATCAAATCACTCTTGATGGAGATGCCTTGGAGGACATTAACACCTTTACATATCTGGGCAGCATCATCGACAATCAAGGTGGATCGGATGCAGATGTGAGGGCACGGATCGGCAAAGCAAGGGCTGCATTTCTACAGTTGAACAATATCTGGAACTCCAAACAGATATCAATCAACACCAAAATAAGGATTTTCAATACAAATGTCAAGACAGTTCTAATGTATGGAGCGGAAACGTGAACTATGAAAGCCATCATCCAGAGGATACAAGTGTTTATTAACAGCTGTCTACGTAAAATACTTCGTATTCGATGGCCAGACACCATCAGCAACAACGAACTGTGGGAGAGAACAAGTCAGATTCCAGTGGAAGTGGAAATCAGGAAGAAGCGGTGAAAGTGGATAGGACACACACTGAGAAAAGCACCTAACTGCGTCACGAGACAAGCCCTCACATGGAACCCTCAAGGCAAAAGGAAAAGAGGAAGGCCAAAGAATACATTACGCCGAGAAATAGAGAAAGATATGAGAGGAATGAACAAACATTGGACAGAACTGGAGAGCGAAGCCCAGGACAGAGTTGGTTGGAGAAAACTGGTGGGCGGCCTATGCTCCATTGGGGGTAACAGGCGTAAGTAACAAGTAAAGTAAGTAACATAAATATATTACTTTTTTAACCAATGTTTACGCGTTTACAAATAAAATTTTATGAGAAGAAAACAACAGAATAATGACATACACAATAAAAAAATAATATAAATAACTAACTTCATCAGTTAATAAAACCGGGATATTAGTTTCTGTAATAAGGCATATCATTTTGATCGATTCTTGACGACATGATAATAACACAGAAATTCGACAACGTAATTCATTAACATTCATTTCATATAACATAATTGCATGATAGACTAGAATAGAGGTAACGAAAAAAAATACATGTATAAAGATGAGTTAGTTAGTTAGTTAGTTGGTTGGTTGACTGGTTTTTTTTACATGTAGAACGCAAGATTTGATACGAATGTACTTGAGATGGATGATATTATCACGTGAAACTCCACAGTAACAGTGTCAGTGTTAACAAAACAATGATTTATAAGGAATCTAGAAACTTGGCAACTAGGTGCTACACATGAACGTAAACACGTCATTTTGATATGCATGAATTATTACGAGTTTACCTTAGTCGGAAAACGAGAGCGACGATTGATGATCCGGCGATACGACATGCAACTCTCATCCGCTGCCCCAACCAACGAAAGAAAAAGCCTTGATATGGCTTAGAACGTGTATTCTACAAGCATCCAGAAAGTACGAGGTCCTAGTCCAGAGGAGGATAGGGATCACGGACTAAGGATCCGGATCATAAAACGTTACAAATAATACATATTTGTATAGTTAGGTCGCATAGGAAACAACATATGAAGTACGTGACATTGATAGTTACGACGACTAATAGGACAAAACTTACAAATAATTCTCTTAGGATATAGGATGAATATCGTAACTCTAAGAGAAGATGAAAACTGAATAAACCTGCGCCATTACAAACGAGATTTTGAGCCATGCCATTTAAAATCTCTAACAGCAGGTTATGATTAGTATCACATTATGAGGACTTCAACCAAGTTGTCTACACCAATTGACAAATCTCAATCCAATTGTCAATAATTTCATAGAGCGATGTCATGTTAAAGTTTGGTCGTCATCAACTTTCGTGAAAATTAATCCCATACTTAGCAATCATCATGCATCGAGGTAGTCGGGGGGTAGGCATACGTAATACGTGTATTTAGATATTTGGAAAGTAGGAATAAATATCCCGATCGTAGCTGCTACCTTGACATGGTGGTCGGGCTTGACTATCGTGATGACTCAACCGAGCTCTATTGGCTTCAACATATGCTTCTATAGGTTCTACCCTGCCAGCCAGGTCCATTGGAGGACGATGAGACTAAAAGCAGCTACTCAAGGTCTGAGGGCGAAGTCGTACTGCTGACTGCAGAGGGGTGTGACAGCAGTATCGTGCTTCCCTCGGACGACCAACATGTGCAGCGATGCTGCCTTCTCACAAGGAACGAAGGGTTAGAAAAGGTCGACTCTCAAAATGTCACACCTTAACGTACACCAAGGATTTTTGTCTCCGGTACTAAGGCATTTTGAAAAGCAGAGCTAACACGTCAACTTTCTATGAAAAGGCTGACCTAAAGCAGATGTCCCTTGGGCTCTGCGGTCACGCCCCCAAATTGGTAAGACCAACACTAATCCAGCTCACTTTTCAGGTTCCTTAAGACTTAGGAATAAGTATGATCAGAGAACAAATTTCTTGATAGAACCACTCCAATATATATGTAAAGTGAGACAATAATCATGGATATTTATTACACAATATAAGCAAATTGTCTGCAGTTAGAACTGAGTAGTTTAACAATGAATAGTTGCAAACGGGAGCAGAATGCACTGAGATGTCAGTCAGTCAGTCAGTCAGATGCAACGTAGAACTTTGTACATAAGTACATCAGTTCATGTTGCCATACCACATCAGCACAGAGAAGTAATCGTCAATTCAAATCCAATAGTAGAAGAGGTAGTAAAGGTGTTAGAAGTAATCGGAGAGGTTAGGATTAGAAGATATTATTCAAGAAGTATGATTCAGTGAGAAAAGTTAAAAAAGTCAAAACTAGAGGGGTTGAAGAATCCAGAAGATTAGGATTCGAGAGAACACAACGAATAAATGCACCGTCGCCATTGCGAACGATTTTGAGCCATGTCATTCAAGGTCTCTAACCATCGATTATTATCATCTCGCGGACCCCAACCAGGTAGTCGACAATTACCAACATGGCTCAGTCCACTAGTCAATGACTTCATGGATTTCTGCCATGTTTTCGTTTGGCCGCCCCTAACTTTCTTCCAACCTATTCCTACACTACAAAACAAGGCTCGACGAGGCAGCCGGTGGTTGGGCATACGCAACACATGTCCCAACCACCTCAACTGGTGAAGTTTCAATACTTCATCGATTGATCTGCCATTCTTACCTAGCACCCGATTCCTAATAACAGCGTTGCTCACTCGGGTGTCCCACGATATACGAGCAATGCTTCGAAGACACCTATGATCGAAAACCATTAACCTACGAATATCTTCTACTCTCACTGGCCATGTTTCACAGCCATAAAGTAAGACGGAGCGAACTACTGCGCAGTACACTCGTCCTTTAGTCAGCAAACGGATATCTCGCCTACGCCATAAGTGACGCAGGTTGGCAAAAGCCAATCGAGCCTTCTGTATCCGTGCTGAGATTTCGTCAGTCACCAGGCCATCGGCACTGATGAGACTCCCAAGATAAGTGAAGCGGTCTACACGTTCGACTACTTCACTCCCTATCAATAGTTCAGGTGCCGATGCAAACCAGTCTTGAAGCAACATTTTGCATTTCGAGGGGGAAAACCGCATCCCGAACATGCTTGCATTGTTGCTTAGGGTAGTCAGAAGACTCTGCATTTTGTCAGCGTCTTCACCAAGTAGGACAATGTCATCGGCATATTCTAAGTCAATAAGCGAGCCACCTGGTAGAAGGTCTACTCCTGAAAATTCAGACGAGGATAATGTTATGTCTAGGAGCATGTCTATGATAAAATTAAACAAGAATGGAGAAAGTGGACATCCCTGACGGACACCACTTGATGTAGAGAATTCCGGTGACAGTTCGCCATAAGCTCTCACTCGACCAGTGGTGTTCGAGTAAAGAGCTTGTATGAGTTTAATGTACTTCTGTGGTACACCTTTCAATGACAGACACTGCCACAGAACCTCACGATCCACAGAGTCAAATGCCGCCTTAATGTCTAGGAAAACAACTACTGTAGGACGCCTAAATGTGTGTCTATGTTCCAGGACCTGTCTGAGCGTGAAAATGTGGTCTATACAACCACGTCCAGGTCGAAAACCAGCCTGGTTTTCTCGAGTCTGCTCTTCACGAGCTTTCGTTAAGCGTCGAAGTATTATTGAGGCCAGTATTTTAGATACTATATTAGTTAGACTTATTCCCCTGTGATTGTCACAAGAAGACTTTTGTCCTTTCTTATAGATTGGGACAATCAAGGATTGAGACCAGTCGGATGGGATTACGTCCAGTTCCCAGATTCTACCTAAGATCTCAGTCAACCTAGCTGCTAAAACTGGACCACCATCCTTAAATATCTCAGGGATCAGTCTATCAGGACCTGCAGCTCGTCCTCGTTTCAGATTTCCTAACGCTTTCTCAACGTCATTAAGACTAGGGGGACTTACGTCGATTTGCCATTCAGGATGACTGGAGATCGTGGGCAACCGAAGTGTGGCTGAAGGCCAGTTGAACTGATCCCTAAAGTGTTCTGCCCATCGATCCAGTCTCCTGGATTGAGAATGGATAATAAGACCATCCTTTTCCGAGATAGTCTCACTCACATTCGGGTTCTTAATACCAGTTTCCTTGATAAGTCGGAAAAGTTGTCTAGTGTTGCCGATCGCCGCACTGAGATGTTCCAATCAGCCATTCAAAAGTCCGTACACTCGTTTTCACCAAGTCAATGACATTTTTGAAATATTCAAACTCGACGAGTAGAAGGAGAAACGAAAATTTCCACAGCATAGTGAGATGCGATAAGTGTAAAATCAGACAATAAACAGCTAGTTCTAACAACCAGGATTCAAAGGTCATATCCAATACTAAATTTCACAAATACTCTGACAACTTGATGTGGTTAAATCTTCTGATCCTCTTCACTCGGATATACAACTTTTAAGCGATACCCTGTTGCCTACTACTTACAAGCTACTTTGTGAGTAGCATTCACCACAGCAGTAGTAGTGGTAGTGTAATGAAGGGGAACACAGGTGAGGGCAACCGAATTGTATTTATCTCAAATTACAGAGTTAATTGGTAAAATAGGAAAACCATATCGTAAATCGTTCATTTGCAAAATATCAATCCATCATATCGAACTGGACTGTTCCTGTTGCAAAACATCAATCCATTGTCTGAAATTTCACTGTTCATGCGTTTCATACAAATCCCATTGTGTTCCCCCCATTCTTCCTTTCTTGATCTTCCCCCATCTTCTGCTGCCAGACATTACGTTTTTATTCGCGTCATATACTACTTATAATTAGCGCGTACCACAAGTATATCGAAGTACAAAAGTGTATATAGTTGAAAGAAAATTTAAATTGGAACATTGGCAATGGTGTATAAGATGATTTATGTTTTTGCTTTTTTTTCTTGATTGGCACACATGATACTTCAATCATACTACTTACATTATTATGTTCATCATCATCATCATCATGTGTGAGGAATGATTACCGACAGTTTTACGAAAATGCCGACATTTCAATTGCTATTTTTTTTGTTCTACAAAAAGACAAATTGTTTTTGTTTTACATGAAAAACAATATCACCCGATTTCATGCGAAAGAAAGTGTGAAAATTAACACAAAATTAAGAACAAAATACGCTTTTCAACTATACAAATAGTCTCATTGTAGTGAATGAGAACACAGGTGTGGCAACCGGATTGTAATTAACGAAAATTACAGAGTTACTCAGTAAAATAGGAAAACCATATCGTAAATCGTTCATTTGCAAAATATCAGTTCATCATATCGAAATGGACTGTTCCTGTTGCAAACACAACATCAATCCATTGTCACTATTCATGCGTTTCATACAAATTCCATTGTGTTCTTCTAACTCTTCCTTTCTTGATCTTCGCCCCATCTGCTGCCAGACATTACGTTGACACTCACGTCATATACTACTTATAAGTAGCGCGCACCACAGTAGTAGTACTGAGTGCATAAAATCACAGTATTATGATTAACTGTACAAAAATACATCACATCATTTTACGAAAAATTAATTCTAGTTACACGAAAAATGATAAACGAACTAAGTCGTTACGATACAGAAAAAAGAACGAACAACTAAAAATAACTCTCTTTATTGCAACATACTTATTTCTCCTTTTAAGCATACGTATAATGTACATCTTGGGACTGCAGGTCTATGTTTATGGAAAGAAATAATAATAAAACAGTATAAAGAATACCCGGTAAGAAAAAAGATGATTAGTAACTTTTAAGAAACATAACAATAAGAATGCAAATATTCAGTAAACTACTTAAATAAATAAATGTCATAAAATGAAAATAGCAATATACATTACGGAATACATGAACGACGAATACTCTTTCCAATAAAAATTCTCATCGAGTTCTACATTCATATGTCGCTATATTAATACGCCCAAAATGTGAAATAATACATCATTTAAAGGCATAGTGTAGCATGTGAATATTTACAATTGTGTATAATATACATTAGACAGTTGGAAGCGATATAGCTATTCCGGGCGAAAAGTTGTTCAAGGTCTCTAATTATCGGTTATTATCATCTCGTGGACCCCAACCACGTAGTCGACATCTACCAACATGACTCAATCCACTTGTCAGTGATTTCATAGATTTGTGCCATGTTTTGGTTTGCCCACCCCTAGCATTCTTCTTCGAACCTACTCGCAACAACACAAAACAGCTTAACGAGGCAGTCGGTGGTTGGGCATATGTAACACATGTCCTAACCACCTCAACTGTGATGAAGTTTCACTACTTTGTCTACTGATCTGTCATCCCTACCTAGTACTCGTTTCCTAACTGTAGCATTGCTCGCTCGGCTGTCTCAGGATATACGAGTAATGCTTCGAAGACATCTATAATCGAATACTAATAACCTTCGGATGTCCTCTACTCTTACTGGCCATGTTTCGAATCCATATAGTAGGAAAGAGAGAACTGCTGCGCAGTACACTGATATTCTTAATGCTAAATCAACAACCAAATCGACTTATATATGAAAGAAATAAGGTTATACACTTAGTAACTACACTTAACATGATTTGTAGTTCGTTACAAGCTCAACGATGCATATGTATCAAAATAAATTTCTAAAATGTTGATAAATTTCTTTCAAAAACTGAACAAACACATTTAAAACGTAATAAAATCTATGCAAGCAACAAATCGGAAAAAAAGTTTGTTAGAACGGACATTATAAAGGATTTGTACAATAATTGAGATATGCCTTGGCTTAATGATAATGCTATCGAGAACGATAAACGAATACTGCTCAGTTATAAACTATTTAGTTCGTAGAAATCAACTTTGCCATTTACGCTATTTTTAGTTAGTAATTAGACTAAATTAGATGGTTCAGAGGTTAGGTGTTCACGCGCAAGACCGGAGATCATGGGTTCGAATCCTGCGAGGTGCAGGAGTCGTGGATGCGCACTGCTGATGGGTTGCATATCAGAACGAAACGGCCGTCCGGTGCTTCCGAGTTTCTACTGATGGTATAGTAATGATTGATTGATGATTTCAATGTGTAAAAACACTGATCTCAATAATGGTAATTGAATAAAATCGATGGATTGAATAGCTTCTTGTCATTAACTGATCGCTGAGTAGTGATCGAAATCAAGTTTATCTAGTTTTTCAGTACTGTCAGTATTTTATTTTATTCATCAAGTTACAATGTGACCATTGGTTTAAGTGATTTGAAATCATCTGCACTATGTTGAGAAGTTAGGTGGTCGGGTATAGCCGACAGAATACCTTGATCAACATAGGTTTCGTGCTAGTTAGTACACGACGGCAACGAGCACTTGCAATCTTCAGGGAACTGATGTTCCCTAGTGAATTGGAAGTCCGGCCGAACAACTTTACAGTCTGAGATGTTTACACTGGGTTATTGCAGTCATTTTTTATGCATGGAATACGATTGGAAACTGAAAGGAAAACTAAGCAAAACCAGAATTTAAAAACAAAGAGATTGCTGATTAGAACTTTACCAAGATGTTTTTGTGTCGTTTCCTTCTAAACTGTATTTGGCTAAAAAGGCTAACAAATAAAACATAACATGAAGTAGCTAGCCTATGTTGAATGTCAGAAATGAACATTTGAAGAGTCGCAGAACTAGTACAAAACAGGCATCAATTACACTATGGTTCTTCTCAGGTGATTTCAGCTTGTGATGAAAACAGTATAGATAGTAATCAACATAGATTGACCTCAATTAAGGTGTTGCAGAGTACGAGAGAGATTTGGACTGCTGCTTAGTTTCAGCATGACTTGACGATGTTGTGAGGGATCGAACCCATGATCTTACAGAGAACAAGTAGTAATTACACATTTGAGTTAGAATTCTATTACTCACAATACAAAATTTATTAATCATCAATCGATTAAAACTAATTTATCATGCACAAAAAAAAGAGTATCACATCAATTTACTTGTTATAAAGTGAATTATACAATCGTAAACCTTCTAATGATCCACAAATCGATAATAAATCTTCTTTGCCTAGACGAAGTATATCACAACCTGAAGAGATCAGTGAAAGAAAATTTAACATGCAACAATGTTAAGAGCTGCAAGTGAATATACATGAAAAGAAAAGCCAAACTAACAAATTGAATAGATACAGGCTTAAAATCTGATCGTTAGATATTCGTCAACTAAAAAAAACACAATCTCACACATATTGGTTGATTCGATGGTCTCGTGTGCTGGCGCAGATATGAGGGTGGATGTCACCTCCTGGCTGCCCACACTTTGGAATAGCGTTTCTTGAGGAACCTGAAAAGGAAGGCAGTGTTGGTCTTAACGACCTGGGAGCGTGACCGCAGAGCCCAAAGAACAACTGCTTGAAGCCGGCCGAGCACAACGTTTTTATGGTAGATTTGTAAAGTGTTGGCACCGTTCTTCATATGGCCTTACCACCAAAGACGGAAATCCGTGAGGTAAGGTGAAGTGTGACATTTTGAGGGTCGACATTTTCTAACCCTTCCTTCCTTGTGAAAAGGCAGCATCGGTGCAGATGCTCGTTGTCCGAGGGAAACACCTTATTGCTGTCACACCCCTCCATCACAGTCAGCAGTACGACTTCGCCCTCAGACCTTGAGTAGCTGCTTTGAGTGTCTCATCGTTCTCCAATCGACCTGCCTGGCTGGCATGGTAGAACCTACAGGAACATATGTTCCAGCCAGTATAGCTCGGTTGGGTCATCACGATAGGCAAGCCCGACCACCACGTCAAGGTAGCAGTTACGGTTGGGTTTTTTATATGTACTCTTGTTCAATTATGAGCTTATTATGGGTGTAGACAGTCCGGTTGGAGCTAGGGTGATAATCGTAAGGAGTGACTAAAGATCTTGTATGATATGGTTCAAAATTGCTTGCAAAGGCAAAGGTGCATCCACTCTTAGTCTCAAACCAAATTCGAAGCTTCTGAATTCTTCTTCGTAACTTTCACCGTTTTTAAATCGATATGTATATAAGGTATTGTCGGGTAGTGAAACTTGAAAACAGACCATTAGTGATGAAGAATACAATCGAAACAAAGTACTTAGGTATTATCAAAATTTTTATACATCATGTATAAATTGATATTACAACTTCATTTACTTATAACTTTTAGCAAGAGTAACATGTACGGAAATCAATTATCTAAATTCCTTTCTTTATAAAAAAAATACGGAACTGACGATGTTCAGTAGATTATCGTTAAATCTGTTTAATTTACACCAAATGCTATGGCACGATTGAGGGTGAGAAGAGTTCACGTTATCTCTACATTTGTTTTTGTATGGCTACACTGACAGTGAATTTCTATCAATTGCATTCTCATGAGACTGATGTTGTTCACGAAATTGAGATGATGAAACTCAAATATCCAGTCAGGGCTCAGACTGAGTTTGTATGTACAGAGGATCCATATAAGGGAGTTTGGAAAACCGTCGTTATAAATCAATGAGGTATGTGGGCGCTATGACTCCGAACAAACAAATGCTATATGGGACCGTATCTCCCAACGTCGAAGCATTGCTCGTATATCGTGGGACAATGATTGAGCAACGCTGTTATTAGGACATGAGTGCTAGGTAAGAATGGCAAATCGATAGATGAAGTAATGAAACTTCATCAGTTGAGGTGGTTGGGATATGTGTTACGTATGGCTAACCATCGACTGCCTCAACGAGCTTTGTTTTGTAGTTTAGGAATAGGTTAGATGAAAGGTAGGGACGGCCAAATCAAAACATGGCACAAATCCATCAAGTCATTGACGAGTGGACTTAGCCATGTCGGTAATTGTCGACTACCTGGTCGGGGTCCGCGAGATGATAATAATCGATGGTTAGAGACCTTGAATGACATGGCTCAAAACAGTTCGCAATGGCGACGGTGCATTTATTCGTTGTGTTCTCTCGAATCCTAATCTTCTGGATTCTTCAACCCCTTTAGTTTTGACTTTTTTAACTTTTCTCACTGAATCATACTTCTTGAATAATATCTTCTAATCCTAACCTCTCCGATTACTTCTAACACCTTTACTACCTCTACTACTATTGGATTTGAATTGACAATTACATCTCTGTGCTGATGTGGTATGGCGACATGAACTGATGTACTTACGTACGAAGTTCTACGTTGCATCTGACTGACTGACTGACTGACCTAACGTCACTGCACTACCTTAAGGACTAGGTCTCTAAGTCAAAGGATCAAGGAGTAAACCTCTAAGAAAGTCACCTATTTAGATTTAGGTAGCCGGGCAGTATCCCAGCGCACTCACAAATTTAGTCATTTGTATGGTATATATTCTTGTGCCCCTTTGTACCAATGTTTATGTATTTAGGTAACTAAATAATGATGGTAGCCAACATTTTAGAAACAATTTAACAAGTTTATCCGATGACTTTTACATACACTACACAGTATCCTTATCATAAAACTTGGTAAGAAAAGTGTTATATTTTAATGAGATAAAGCACTCAGCTAGCTAATTAGTTATTAACAGAAATCCTGGAACAAATGTGCATTGGTCTAAGTTGCCATACGACGTGAAATGCCATTAACAAGAAGAATAACAAAAGAGATCGAAATAATGTAAAAGCAATAATTTTGAAAAACAGTGGATATATTTCACACAGATATAGTACACAGGCAACTGTAGTTATGAAGCAATACGACAGTTTAATATCGTTAAGAGTGCATCTCCACCTATTGAAATTGATTTTGAAGCCTACCACGTAAACTCTTCAATTATAAACCGGATTTACTGCGTGGACCCCACCTAAATAGTCTGAGTCTACTGTGGTGTGTATACAAATATTTCAAGCACACAGGGCTTGTCCCAGCCTATACAACATCATTCTTCCAATCTTGCCTATTATTCGCTCATATCCTTTAGTTATTTTGATTTCAGTACGTGCGTACATGCTTACTTTGTCTATTACATGTTTAACCTATTTGATCTGACTATAACTACTTAGTCATGCCTCATTGTATGGAGTTCCGAACGAGTGCAACACATAATCATAGCAGCAATTTTGTCTGTGCAATATACTTTACCAACTAAGTCACTAGCCAACCGGTGAATTACTGGATCTCTGGAAGTTGTAACTGTATGGAGAACCCGGTCTACTTTTACGAGAGGACGTTCGTTTCGTGTGCTAATACGATCATATGATTTGTCATAATATTCCATTTCTCCACAATCAACCTTGTCAATAGGTTCCTTTACGTTAGGTAGAGCCAACTTTGCAAGTCTGGCAAAATCTAGCTCTTCAAACATTGTCCAATTATCCTTAATCTGAATAGACGCATCACGCACTGCCTTATGGGCTTGTCTGCGGTCGTTATTAGAACCCCAAGCGCCTGTATTGGACCGCCAGTGTGGTGCTGTGGTGCGAACTACTTATAAGTAGCATATAACGTGAGTGTCAACGTAAAGTCTGGTAGCATAATACGGGGGGAAGATCAAGAAAGGAAGAGTTAGAGAACAATGGAATTTGTATCAAACGCATGAATAGTGACAATGGATTGATGTTTGGCAACAGAAACAGTCCAGTTCCATAGGATGAACTGATCTTTTGCAAATGAACGATTTACGATATGGTTTTCCGATTTTACTGAGTAACTCTGTAATTTTCGTTAAATACAATTCGGTTGCCTCCACCTGTGTTCTCATTCACTACATTTGGGACTGAAGTCAAATAACAGGCCATTAAACTAAAGACATAGTTCAATCAAGCAAAAACAATACCTAACCTAATCTAATCTAACCTAACTAACAATAAAAATAACAAATGTTACGTATAATTTTTTACCTGTAAAATTTTTAAATGTTTCTACAAGATTTTCAAAATTCGATTGACGCAACCAATGTGCAACTTGTGATGCAGTCATTTCACAATGTATCATCAATAAAGAAGTATGGACATTTGAATTCATCAACGATGGTGATTTCACAGTAACAACTGAAGTATTATTGATTGTTGATGAACAAACCGATGATGCTGATACTGATGACACTGATGACATGGATGATTCATTCGGTAACAACATGATCGATGATGATGAGGAGGAGGATAACGATGACGATGAAGGAATTTGAAGTTTTGGTTTAGTTGACAAACTCATCACCATTGAATCATCACATAATGTAGTTTGATGAATTACCGAATTTAATTTATTCATGCATAAATCTCCGTCAGCAACAACATCATTGTCATTATCAGGATGGTTATTACCGTCGTTATTAGTACTGTTATTATTATTATCATTATTACGGATACTGTCATTATTCTCTGCACAATATCCAATATCTTCAACAGTAGATCTAATAGGTGGTGAAGATGTGCTCAATTGATTTTCATTACTACAATAACCAGTATCATGACTTGCTGGAGTTGTAGCAACACTAGACGAAGACATGCCTAATAAAGGATCTTCATCAGATTGTACAACAGTGACAATCGAATTCAAAGGATAATCTGCCAGAATAATTGATGTAGATGGGGATGATGAGGATAGTTTTGATTTGTACTCATCATATTTATTATCTATTAATAATAATGATGATGTACAATGAATGAGTTCATCATTACCACCCAGGCTAGATGATTCACCAGATGTACTCAATTCATAGATGGATGAATGATGATGATTATTATTAGTAGTATTAGTAGTAGTATTGGTGTTCATGGAATCCGATTGATGAGAGCAAATATTCATTAGAATTGGTTTGGACTAAACAACACACACACACACGCATACACACAAAAAGAAACAAACGATAATCAAAATTCAACAATATTTTTTCGTAACCTTGAATCGATTAATGTTAGACCAACACCATTAGAAACCTGGAAGCACTGGACAATGGCCGTTTCGTCCTGGTATGGGACTCATCAGTAGCAGTACGCATCCACGACTCCTGCACCCCGCAGGGTTCGAACCCAGGACCTTCGGTATTTTAAGCGAACGCGAACGAAACGGCCGTCCAGTGCTTCCAGGTTTCCAATGGTGTTGGTCTAACATTGATCGATTCATGGTTTCAAAAACATGTGTAACTTAACAATCTTCACAACCCCGTAATGCAAATAATACAATATGCAACTGAAAGTTTCGATAATAATGATCCAAGGTTCAGTGTTACTTTATAATCGAGGAGATAAAAGAGATATTACGGGGGGGGTGGAGAAAGGATTTGTTTATGATCAATTTGACCGCGTATCCTGTTATACCGGTATGAGGGTGGATGTCACTTCTCAGCTGCCAACACATTGGAAGGGTGTTTTCTTGAGGAACTTGAAAAGGAAGGCAGACTAGTGTTGATCTCAGACACCTGAGAGCTTGACCACAGAGCCCAAGGGACAACTGCTCCTGGTCTGTCACACACGGCTCTTTTATTGGAAGATTGTAAAGTATTAGCTCTGCTCTTGTTTAAAAGGCCTTACCGACGGAGATCGAAATCCATGAGGTAAGGTGAGGTGTGACATTTCCAGAGAAGGCAGTATCGTTGCAGATTCTGGTTGTCCGAGGGAAACACCTTATGGCTGTCACAACCCTCTGCAGTCAGCAGTAGAATTTCGCCCTCAGACCTTGAGTAGCTGCTTTTAGTCTCATCATTACCCAGCCCACTTGCCAGGCGTAGTAGAACCTACAAGGAACATATGTTCCAGCCAATATGGCTCCGTTGGATCACCACGCCAAGGTAGCAGCTACGGTCGGGAACTTTATAATACTAAAATTCAATGCATTATAGGATACAGTGAGATTTTTTATAATGTGTGATTACTAGCAATGAGATTCTGTTTATTAAGGTACTTGATTATTAGACAGTCAAAAGTTGAGATTGAGTGGTAAAAGCAGAGATACGATCAATTTATGATATGGCGCTATTGCATGAAATTTGTTTTCTGGTTAGTGTTTTTTTTGTAGATTGGATTTCTACGAGATGGGGTCCGGAAACCCCATGCCCAACCGTTATTCTCTATCCGGGTTTAGAACTGGCAATAACCCTAGAAGCGCTCCTGGCTTATTCCTGATAGAATAACAGATTGTTTTCATGCAATAGCTTGCTTACTTACGCCTGTTAACCCAGTGGTCTATGTTACATTAGGGATAACAGGAGTAAGTAAGCTATTGCATGAAAGAAATCTGTGTAAGACTCAGATGTATCAGTCTATCACGACTTTCTAGTTACGATAATAACGAATGTGCAACTTAATGTGTCTTAAAACGCTATCAGCTATGGTCTATAGTAGAAACCAGTGGTCATCCTATTGTAGTTATCTATTAATATCTGAATTAAGTGAAATCTACACCTTCAGCGTACTACATCTAACTGCCCTGTACCACTTACAAAATAAAACCGATTTTCATCGGCACAATTTTTGATGCCTTATTTTACTATGATTTACAGGTATTAATGTTAACAAGTTGAGTATAAATTTAACCTTAGTAGTTGATGGTGATGTTGTCCATTCAACATGTATATGTATATGTAAAGTAACGTAATGTTAGGGGGAGTCTTGAATTATCCCTCTTTAAAGTATCAAGAGGCCCAGAATTCTAATCAGCATTGAATAGAAACCCCGTTAGGGGTGTCCACTCTCTCCATTCCTGTTTAACTTTGTCGTAGACATCCTCTTAGAGTTAACATTGGGCTCGTCAGATTTTTCAGGAGTAGACCTTCTACCAGGTGGCTCGCTTATTGACTTAGAATATGCCGATGACATAGTCTTACTTGGTGAAGACGCTGACAAAATGCAGTCTTCTGACCACCCTAAGCAACGCGAGCATGTTCGGGATGTGGTTCTCACCCCCGAAATGCAAAATGTTGTTTCAAGATTGGGTTGCATCGCCACCTGAACTGGTGATAGGGAGTGAAGTAGTTGAGCGTGTAGACCGCTTCACTTATCTGGTGAGTCTCATCAGTGCCGATGGCCTGATGACTGACGAAACTTCAGCATGGATACAAAAGGCTCGACTGGCTTTTGCCAACCTGCGTTACTTATGGCGTAGGCGAGATATCCGTTTGCTGACTAAAGGACGAGTGTGCTGTGCAGTAGTTCACTCCGTCCTACTTTATAGTTGTGAAACATGGCCAGTGAGAGTAGAAGATCTTCGTGGGTTACTGGTTTTCGATCATAGTGTGGTGTGAGCTACTTATAGGTAGTTTATGACGTGAGTGTAAACGTAATGTCTGGCAGCAGAAGATGGGCGGAAGATCAAGAAAGGAAGAGTTAGAAGACAATGGAATTTGTACGAAACGCATGAATAGTGACAATGGATTGATGTTTTGCAACAGGAACAGTCCAGTTCGATATGATGAACTGATATTTTGCAAATGAACGATTTACGATATGGTTTTCCGATTTTACTGAGTAACTCTGTAATTTTCGTTAAATACAATTCGGTTGCCCCACCTGTGTTCTCGTTCATTACAATAGATGTCTTCGAAGCGTTGCTTGTATTTCCTGGGACACCCGAGTGAGCAACGCTGTTATTAGGAAACGGGTGCTAGGTAAGAATGGCAGATCAATAGATGAAGTAATGAAACTTCATCACTTGAGGTGGTTGGGACATGTGCTGCGTATGCCTAACCACCGACTGCCTCGACGAGCTTTGTTTTGTAGTGTAGGAATAAGCTGGGAGAAAGGTTGGGGCGGCCAAACCAAAACATGGCAAAAATCCATGAAGTCATTGACGAGTGGACTGAGTCATGTCGGTAGTTGTCGACTACCTGGTTGGGGTCCGCGAGATGATAATAATCGATGGTTAGAGACCTTGAATGACATGGCTCAAAATCGTTCACAATAGCTCCGGTGCATTTATTCTTTGTGTTCTCTCAAATCCTAATCTTCTGGGTTCTTCAACACCTCTAGTTTTGACTTTCTTAACTTTTCTCACTGAATCATACTTCTTGAATAATATCTTCTAATCCTAACTTCTCCGATTGCCTCTAATACCTTTACTACCTCTTCTACTATTGGATTTGAATTGACAATTACATCTCTGTGCTGATGTGGTATGGCAACATGAACTGATATACTTACGTACGAAGTTCTACGTTGCCTCTGACTGACCGAGAAACCCAAAAGAAACATCTAGGAAATGTAGAATTGTGCATCATGACTCTGATTGGATATTTACCTATATTGCTATTATCTTTATTGTTGTTCCAGAAATTCCGAGAAGCCTACATTCGTGTGTAACTGAAAATAATCTCATGTTACTTTTGTATTTAAACCCACCTTGTAGTCACGCTTTTTAGTTGCAACTCACATCTTCCCTCTATAGCTCCAGTAGAATTGGATATAGAAACCAGCTAGGGAGATAGCGTAAACGTGTCAATAGCAAGACTTTTAAATACTTACAGTCGAATTCATGACTGAGTTGAATGAATCTGATATATCCAGTAAAATGTGGAAGTAATCTACATTACGCAATAACATACACTAGATAACCAATGAAAATTAAGAATCATTGAACAGCTGTTTTGTTATCATGTAAAACCTTTCCACAGAGCACACACATCCATAACCTCAAACAAGACATTCAAGTTATTAAGTCAGAATTCTAAAATTCACATTTGTAACTCAATTTGTTAATTTTCACACATATCAGTTTATATTTAGAAATTTCAAATCCTCAATCAGTCAGAGAATTCGCTGTCTACTGACAAAGTGAATTATTTACTTGAAGGTATCAAAACTTACACGGATAAATAATACGAACGACAAGCAAGTTTAATACATATAAAGGATAGAGAAACTTTACTACAGTTACGTTAGGGACTGACTTACCTTCGGTAATTCAGTTAAATGTGAATTATTTTCATAACCATGTGAAGCACGTCTTCTCTCTGAAATCAATGTGGCTTGTTTAGCTCGATTAGTTGAATTGTCCCAATTGGTGCACATCATTCTATTTTTACTAGTTCGTACCCATCGAGAAGCACTTCGACAACTACGCCCACAAGATGAACAAGTCCCAGCACAACAATCACCTACTCGAGGACGTCTACGTCGTTGAAAACATGGTTGTATAGTATAATTAAGACGTCGACTAGAAGATGGTGAAGGTGATATACCCGGGGAGATATTTCTTAACACTGAATAGGCTGAACGATGTATTGGATAGGTAGGTGCAACAAATTCCGAAAATGATCGATTCAAAGCACTAGGTGATTCAATTGGTTTAGGCACTGCAAAACCGGTGTTGATATCATTGAAATTCTTTAGTGTACAGTTATCTTTTAAAACTGTTTTCTCCACTCTTGGCAAACTATGGATATAAGTAAAAGGAAAAAATAATTGAAACACAATAGATAAACATAAAATAAGCACAATTCTAAGTAAGTTATTCATTGACTACTGACAGTCCTTTCATACATCTTAAAAAAGAGCTGGTCAGTTAACCATGTGACAGAGAAAAATTTGATCAGAGAGAATAAAGGATTTAGAGACACAAAACAAAAAGGTATAACCAGTTGTACTTACCAATTTTTACTGATTAGTGACTGAATCAAGGGGTAAACCAATTAGACTCTGTGAAGAAAAATATATCTCAGTGTTAAAGTTTATTAAGGTTTAGCGGTATGGGAGTGTGTATATGTTATACTTTGTATTGATAGTTCTTTAAAGATTAAGAGTATGTCGAAACATTTGTAGCTTTAATAGTTCAGTAATAACATAATATATCGTGTAGATTTAATTTATGATAGAGACTTTTGGATAGATTGAACAAACTACTGTTCATTTTTCTTAAAGGAGCAAGTTCATGAAAGTGTAGAAAGTGTATAACAGTACCAACATCACGCACAACGGTACTCACACATATTTGAGTGGTTAGGGGATAAGTAAGAGCAACAAATATTCTCATTAGTCAGTCAGTCAGTTGCAACGTAGAAATTCGTACGTATGTACGTAAGTTCATGTTACCATAACACATAAGCACACAGACGCAAATGTCAAATCAAATCCCATAGTGATAAAGACAGTAGAGGTATTAATGGTAATGAAGATAACTAGGGTTTGAAGATATTATTCAAGAAGTATAACTCAGTGAGATAAGGTTAGAAAGACAAAGGTAGAGGTGCTGACGAATCCAGAAGATTAGGATTTGAGAGAACACAAACAATAAATGCACCTGAGCCATTGCAAACGATTTTGAGCCATGTCATTCAGGGTCTCTAACCATCGTTTTTTATCATCTCGCGGACCCCAACCAGGTAGTCGACACCTACTGACATGGCTAAGTCCACTCGTCAATGACTTCATGGATTTCTGACATGTTTTGGTTTGGGCGCCCCTAACTTTCTTCAAACCTTCTTCTACACTACAAAACAAAGCTCGTCGAGGCAGTCGGTGGTTAGGCATACGCAACACATGTCCCAACCACCTCAACTGATGAAGTTTCACCACTTCATCTATTGATCTGCCATTCTTAACTAGCACCCGTGTCCTAATAATAGCGTTGCTCACTCGAGTGTCCCATGATATGCGAGCAACGCTTCGAAGACACCTATGATCGAAAACCAGTAACCTACGAATATCTTCTACTCTGACTGGCCATGTTTCACAGCCATAAATTAAGACGGAGCGAACCACTGCACAGTACACTCGTCCTTTTGTCAGCGAACGGATATCTCGCCTACACCATAAGTGACGCAGTTTGGCAAAAGCCAATCGAGCCTTTTGTATCCGAGCTTAAATTTCGTCAGTGACCAGGTCATCGGCACTGATGAGACTCACCAGATAAGTGAAGCGGTCTACACGTTCGACTACTTCACTCCCTATCACCAGTTCAGGTGCCGATGAAACCCAATCTTGAAGCAACATTTTGCATTTCGAGGGTGAGAACCGCAGCATCCCGAACATGCTTGCATTGTTGCTTAGGGTAGTCAGAAGACTCTGCATTTTGTCAGCATCTTCACCAAGTAGGACAATGTCATCGGCATATTCCAAGTCAAAACTGTATACGATACAAATGTCAAGATAGTTCTACTGTTTGGAGCGGAAACATGGAAAACTACCAAAACCATCGTCCACCACATAAAAAACAAGTTTTTAATTAACAGTTGTCTACGCAAAATACTTTGGATTCGTTGGTCAGATACCATCAACGACAGCATACTGTGTAAGGGAACAAACTAGATTCCAGTGGAGGAAATCAGGAAGAAGAAGAGCCGGAAGTGAATAGGACACATAATGCAGAAAGCACCCAACTATGTCACAAGACAAGCCGTCACTTGAAGCCCTTAAGTTCAGGGGGAAAAGTGGAAGACCAAAAAACACAGTTCACCGGAAAATTAAGACAGACATGAGAAGAATGAACAAAAATTGGACAGAACTGGAAAGGGAGGCGCAGGACAGAGTAGTTTAGAGAATTCTGATCGGTGTGGGAGCTAAGCGCTTGAATAAAATTGATCTCATCTACAGAGTAAATTTTAATATGTATTTCATAAAGAAAACAGTGGAAATCGTGTTTTTTCAACCTATCATGTGTAAATTTCTATACTTAACTTTAGGCCATATGCTAGAATTTAAGAGCTAACCATATTAACAGAAATACGTATGTGGGGGTTCGAACCTGCGACTTAGTGACGGAAAGTTAAATCCGCTAACCAATGACTCAGACATCTACTTACTCTATGACTGAGGTTATATTGTGGTGTGTGCTACTTATACGAACGATATAAGTAGTATAAGAAGGGACGTGAAAGAAGAAGTCACACGGTCACAAGAGGAAAACGGAAAGCAAATGGAGCAAAAGCAAGAAATGGAGTACCAACAGGAAGTAAAGGAGGCAACAGCATGAATGGAAGACGGCTGGAGCGTTGGAAGTCACGAATCAAAGATGGTGTGCAAATAGAGTGTTGAATGTAATGTTTTCGTTTTTAATTGACTAACAGTGTAAATTTCCATAATACAATCTTCCGCGCCTGCCTCAGTCTTCTCAATATAATCATTGTGGATGATAGATACACAGTCTTCCAACGAAACCACATAGTAGACTGAAGTAAAGTGTACCTAAAAGCTAATTCGATTACCTAATGAAGTGACAAATGATCAATCTTAAAACCAACTTCTTCTTCTCATACACAATAACAACTGGTCGTGCTGGTTTTTTGTGTCATCCTCGAGAAGATCATTGATTTGAATACAAACAAACAGAAAAGAAACAATAAGAAGAGGACTAATACAAATTCCATGCAATCATTCAGGTTGTGGTGGTGTTTGGTTCTCTGAGCTGGATGTTGTTTTGGTTGTGGAGCTTTGATTGTTCTCCTACTGAACAACATCATCAGCAACACAAACTTCAGATAGCAGAAGTGAAGCATTCGAATTTCTCCACATTTGACCTGTAGCTTGTTCTGTTAACCTCGATCTTGTTTGGTTGTTGTTGACCTTAAACCTGTCGTTGTTTGCACATTTGTTTTGATTGTATCCCCTTTTTGATCTGTTTCTTGATCCTATGTCCCCTATGATACAATCAAAACAAATGTGCAAACAACGACAGGTTTAAGGTCAACAACAACCAAACAAGATCGAGGTTAGCAGCAGAACAAGCTACAGGTCAAACGTGAAGAAATTCGAATACTTCACTTCTGCTATCTGAAGTTTGTGCTGCTGATGATGTTGTGTTCAGCAGAAGAACAATGAAAGCTCCACAACCAAAACATCCAGCTCAGAGAACCAAACACCACCACCACCACAATCATCCACCTGAGCTACAAATCTTCTCCACCATCTCAAAATCATTCAGCTATTCAATCAGTTAATCAGTTAGTTAGTTCGTTAATTCAATTCAATGGAAACTTACTTTTGTAAATTTAAATTACTCATATTATTTAGCTTAAATTGTTGGCATGAATTATTGCACATTGATGTAGTTATTGTGGTGTTAATGTTGGTGTTGGTATTGGTACTGATGATAGTAGTGGATGTAGTGAGAATTGATGTTGTGAAAGCATTGTCAATTGATAATTGTTGTTTATCTGTTGTTATAGTGGATGATTGATCATAATCATATCTATGATCATGATGCTGGTGATGATGATTAGAATGATGATGCTGATGCTGATGATGATGAAATAATTTCACTTGTTTATTAGGTAAATATGATAATTTAGTCACAGGAAATGATGGTTTATAAATAGTCTGAAAAAAAAATAAAAAAGAGAATAGTATCAATGAATTATACAATAATAAAATGTGAGCATTAAAATTGTTAGGATATTTATCCAATATCTTAAGAGAATTATAGGTCGATTTCTATTGATTAATTTCTACTGGTCCATTTTATGATCGTCCTAGATATCAGTGTCACAGACTTCGATGATGTTTCCTATTCGACCAAAATGTAAAAATACGCATTATGTGTGACCTTTTATGACCAGGGCCCGGTCCCGGATCCCTAGTCCGGGATACTGATTCTCTTCTAAACTCGGAACCTCGTACTTTCTGGATGCTTGTAGAATACATGTTCTACTTCATATCAAGTCTTCTCATTTTCATTCAATATGGGGGTTGGGATAATCGGATTTGTCGCCTGATGCTCTATCCTCGCTCTCGTTTTCCGACTAGGTAAACTCGTAATAGTTCAAGCATATCAATTTGACGTGTTTATGTGCAGGCGTAAAAAAATAAGGGGAATAAGTGAAAGTTGTGGAATTTCCATAGTTTTTAATCACGAAATAATCTTAGCTAGACTACTAGTCCCGACCGTAGCTGCTACTTTGACACGGCGGTGATGGTAGTCAGGCTTGCCTATCGTGATGATCTAACCGAGATATATTGGATGGAATATATGTTCCTGTAGGTTCCTACCATGCCAGGATGGTCGATTGGAGAACGATGAGACTAAAAGCACGAACTGAAAATCTGAGGGCGAAGTTGTACTACTGCCTGTAGAGAAGGGTATGACACCAGTAAAGTGTTTCCTTCGGACAACCAGCATCTAAAGCGTTACTGCCTTCGCACAACGGAAGGAAGGGGTTAGAAAAGGTCGACCCTGAAAATGTCACACGTCACCCGACCTCAGGGGTTTCACATTAATACAAACAAAAAGTCTAACCAGAGCTTGCCAACATTACACAATGATCCTCTACAGTTATATTATCTCTACATACTTTTGGAGGTAAAAGACAGTAGCAAAATTGAACATCAAGAAATCATACATTCACATAGATTACAAGCTAAACAGATTGGATAAATTGCAGTGCAGAAAAAAAAACATCAATGAGGGAAAGATTTACTTGATCATCGCCAGATTTACGTTCAATTCTTTCTCGATCAGTTTTATGCTTACGATCAGCTCCTTTCATTTTAAATACTTTAATTTGACAAGCAAATGATTCCAAATGACGATTTGTATCATATTCATAATGTTCTACCTGTAAGTATAAAAACATTCAAAAATTGTGAACATTTAAAATAACAACAACAACAGAAAAAGGGAATAAGAAAAAACAAGTAAGCAATGATCAGCAGAAATGCTATTTGCATTACGGGGTTGTGAAGATTGTTAAGTTACACATTTTTGAAACCATGAATCGACCAATGTTAGACCACCATTAGAAACCTGGAAGCAATGGACGGCCGTTTCGACCTGGTATGGGACTCCTCGGCAGTGCGCATTAACGACTCCTGCACCCCGCAGGATTCGAACCCAGGACCTTCGGTGTTGTGCACGAACGCCCTAACCGTTAGACCACTGAGCCGTTATCCAACGGTGTTAATGTCTAACTTGATCAAATTCAAGGAGTGCTTCCAGTTTTCTAATGGTGGTCTAACATTGATCGATCCATGGTTTCAAAAATGTGTAACTTAACAATCTTCACAACCCCGTAATGCAAATTACCTGTGCTCACTAGTGACTAGCTTCGTGAGGAATCTTCTCCGAGTTCTAGTGAAGTTCAACCTGTTCGGGTGTAGGCAGTGTCTACCGAAGACTGTGTATGAGGTTGCGCAACTCCGTGAATTCGATCAAGTTAGACATTAACACCGTTGGATACCAGCTCAGTGGTCAAACGGTTAGGGCGTTCGCGCACAATACCGAAGGTCCTGGTTGCAAATCCTGCGGGGTGCAGGAGTTGTGGATGTGTACTCCTGAGGAGTCCCATACCAGGTCGAAACGGCCGTCCATTGCTTCCAGGTTTCTAATGGTGGTCTAACGTTGATCGACTCATGGTTTCAAGAAATGCTATTCATATGGAAAAATCGATATGACGAGTATTACATCATTCATTGAAAAAAACCTGACCAGCACAAGTAGTTACATAAAAATTTATAAACCATACACTGTTTCGATTGGACTGAACACGAAGATAACGATGATCAGTCAGTTAGCTGCAACAACACAGAAATTTGTACAGTATGCGTAGCAGTTCAAGTTGCCATGCCACAAACTAGGACAGACAGTTCGAATCATATGATGCTAGAGGTCAGTTAGTCAGTTCACAGATTTGGAAACATATTTTGTTTTGGCTGCATCTAGCTTTGTTTCAGCCTATCCCTCTCTACACCACAAAACATAACTCGATGAGGCAGTCGATGGTTGGACATTCGTAACATATGTCCCAACCGCCTCAACTGATGAAGTTGCAGTACTTCATCTATCGATCTGCCACCCTTAACTAAGACCCGTTCCCTAACATTAACATTGCTTACTCGGTTGTACTATAATACGCGAGCAATGCTTCGGACACATCTATGACCGAAAACCAGTAACCTGCCAATATCTTCTACTCTCACTGGCCAAGCAGGACGGAGCGAACTGCTGCGCAGTAGACTCGTCCTTTGGTTAGCAAACGGATGCCTCACCTACGCCATAAATGACACAAGTTAGCAGAACACATAAAATGTGAATGAATAAAAAGTTTTATAGTAACACTTCAATGGCATATATCAACTGGAGTTATTACTTTTCTGAAAGTCAGTAAAAAACTTCCAATTCACTCTAGCGAATTTTATATTCATGTCAGTGAGATCGTGTTGTATACAATCAATTCGACAAAAATTATGGCCGATAATAACTTATTTATTAAATATAGCTTTATGCACTTAGTTTTAAGTCGAAATTTTAAGTATAAGGACTGGTGATAATAATATTGATAATAATAACCCGGATTGCTCAAACCATGGTAGATGGATGAAGATTTAAATTTTAGAACTATCAGTCAGTTAGTTAGTTAGTTACAACATAGAACTTGATACGTCAATATATCAGATCAGGTTGCCATACCCTATTAGAACAGAGAAGCAATTGTAACTTCAAATCCCATAGTGGTACCGGTATTAATGATAATGGAGAAGATTAGGGTTCGGAGATTCTATTCATGAAGTATGATTCAGTAAGATAAAGTTAGAAAGAGAACGATAAGGGTCATGAGGAATGTATAACAAGGTTCATTGAAGTCTTGGTCATGCGCAAGTTTAAACCCTCTGATTATATTCAAAAACAGTTTGTTCTTAGTCAGTCAGTCAGCTACAACGTAGAACTTCGTACGTACGTACGCACATTAGTTCAAATTGCCATGCCATATTAACCCACAGAGATCGAATTGTCACTTCGAATTCCATAGTTCTCACCCTAAACCTACCATGGCGATGTAGTTTTATTATCAAGAGTGATGAGTTTCACGCCAATTTTCTTTATTAACCTTAAAGTCTATTTGTTCTTCACAAATAAATGTTGTTAACAAGTCATATTTGTGTGATCATCAGACTGCTCCAAATGTATTATGCTACCGTATCGCATAGTCCTGATAATCTGTGTCTTCTCATCTCACCGTATAAGCAATGTTATCTTTAGGAGACGAGATCTAAGTAGGGATGGCAAATCAACAGATGAAGTATTGAGACTTCATCAGTTGAGGTGGTTGGGATATGTGTTGCGTATGCCTAACCACCGACTGCCTCGACGAGCTATATCTTGTAGTGTAGGAATAGGTTGGAAGAAAGCTAAGGGCGGCCAAACGAAAACATTTCACAAATCCATGAAGTCACTGACAGGTGGACTGAGTCATGTTGGTAGATGTAGACTACCTGGTTGGATTCCGCGAGACGAAAGTCACCAATGGTTAGAGACCTTGAACGACATGGCTCAAAATCGTTCGCAATGGCGCGGGTGCATCAACTGTTTGTGTTCTCTCTAATTCTAACCTTCTGAATTCCTCATCATCTCTGTCTTTCTCCTTCTAAATCTATCTCACTGAATTATACTTCTCGAATCATATCTTCGCTCCCTAATCGTCTCCATTACTCTTCCATTTGAACTGACAGTTGCGTCTTTGTGCTGACATGGTATGGCAACTTGAACTGATGTACTACTTACGTACGAAGTTCTGTATTGTATCTGTCTGTCTGTCTATCTGTTATTTCACTAGTCAAATAAATCCACCATTATCGATTTTATAAAAAAATAAAAGGTTTTTTGATTTAATTTACCATTTTTCTCTTTAAATAATTACACACATGTCATCCATTGTACTCCATTTGTACTGAGTGTTTATTAGTTAATGAAAAATAGATTTAGAAGAAAAAGAAAAATCAAAAAGGCAGATCATCAATTTACCTGAAATCGAAACGGTATACCTTTCTCACCACCATGTTTTTTTGCAGTGAACTCAGTACTGACACAATTAAATCGTAAACCAATTGTACATCTGGGATATTTCCATATACAAAATAAATCATCTGATGAATTGGTTTCACTACTATCCAATTCTTCATAATCATTTGATCTTTCATAATCTTGAAAAAAAAAACAAGTGGTTATTTACAGAAAGAAAAGAAAAAAATGAGAATTTCGCTAATCGAATTAGGGGTATAACAAACTGTTTTTCGATTCTAGTTGGTAGTTGCTTTATGTAATAGACAATGTCGTATGTGTGGAATTCATCGAAATCAATTGATGAAAACGATAGACGATGGTATAACTCCGTCTGGAGCTCTTCTAGGATATCTGTCGGTCTCAAGCCCAGATGAAAGTAGGAGAGTTAGGCATGGATGGAGTTAGTGACTGCATCGCGTAGAAAAACAACTTGCTAAAATAGAACGCCAACTAGTACAAATAATTTAAACTACTTCAACTCTGTCCTGAGAGTTGGAAGTTTTTGTGCTCGTTGGTGGCCTATACTCCGCCATTAGGGATAACACGCGTAGGGTAGTAAAGTAGGTTGCTTGCGCTTAAACTTTTGAAGCATTAAAATACATATATCGGGGAGTGTGTGTCTAGTTGGTGGATAGTAATTTAGGTGATCAAAATTGATTAGAAGATCACATAACCTATCTATTTGTAATGATGGCTGCTAAAATATGATATAACTAACTGCCTTCCTCGTTGACAGTCTCAAATTATAACCATTTAGTATGTGGATTCA